AGGGCCGCCCCTCCCCACGGCACCGGGGCCCCCCCCGGGGGGTGCTCCTGGAGCCCGGCCCGGCTGGGGGACAGGGGAGGGGTGGGCAGCAGCTCAAACTTTTTCCAGATGTCCTCCCCGGGGGGAGCGGAGTCCGGCCCGCACAAATAAAAATCATCTTCGTCCGGGTAGAAACAGGGCTGCAAAGAGTCGAACTCGAGGTCTGGGTTTTTACTGACCATTCCTGGCATTACGGGTCTCTTCTTGCCGATCCCTGGGTCGGGCAGTGGTTTGAGAGACACGTTTTGTGGGTATTTCCACCAAGGGGAAGGAGAGAGGTTCTCCCAAGACCTGAAACTAAACCAAAAATAAAAAAACAACCACAATTAAAACGCGAAGAAACAAACAGACACGAATGTGACTCCCTCTTAATCGAAGGAAAAAAAAAAAAAAAAGGTAATAATCCCATCATCAATAGCAAGAAAGAGGGAGCCTTTTGCAAGTTGAGAAAAATTGCATCTCACACACCTTTCCTCCCGACTCAAGATACGCAAAGAAAAGCGACCGGGTAGTGCTCCCACATGCAAAGCTTTCCGCCTGCCCGGGCGCTCCGTGGGGACACAACCCCGGCCGGCGAGGTTCGGCGAGGATGCCAAGCACCTCTGTGCCTGTGCACATAGCACTCGCCTGCTCTCCCCAAACTGCTTCAAACGCTCAAAACAGCAGAGCAACTGTAGACAGATGCAAGGCTTTGATACCGTAATCTCTCCAGAAAGCCCTCTTGATACACCAGCAAAAGTAGAGGAAGTTTACTCCTTTTGTCATCTGGGGAGCCGTGCAAAGGGCGAGAGAGAAGGATGCAAAGAAGGGGGCGGAGGGGCTCTTTGCAACTTCGCAAATCGCCAGTTCGTTCACTCAAAGCGAGCCAGAGCAATCCGCACAAAACACAAGGGGGGTGGGGGTGAGAGGAGGAGGGGAAATTCAGCAACAGAAATTATCAACCTTATGTAATAATCTCATGCACAAAAATGCATTAAAACCGCCCCGGCGCCACCAACAAAGCCTCCTGATTTGCCAAGAAGGTACGGGAAGTTTTTTCTCCCCCTTTTTCCAGTTTAAGACAAGAGCAACGGAAAGGTTGCAAGGACAACAACTTTGCGCGTTTTGCCGCTTCATGCAATCAAAACCTCCTGCAAACACACCGGCTTTCCAGCCCCCTCACCTCTGGAAAACGCACGCTGCTGCCCTTACCTCGGCCGGACCCCCCACTCACTAGCCACGACCAGTCAACCACCGCCCCCTT